TATCTTACCTCAACTTGCTTTTTGAGGTTTTCATCATTTAGTCTATAAAGTGTCATACAAGTTCCTAAAATCCACAACACTATGGTCTAAAATCCAGAGACATTCAGTCCACAGTGATGTTAAACAGAGTGAAGCAGCGAATTCTCACTCTGGAGAAGGATGTGCAGCCAAATGTTTCATGTTCTTGCTTGATCAAAACTGACAAGCAATGTTCTACAAAGTATTTCTGTTTTACACTTCTCAGAAAAAAAGACTGTATGATGTTGTACATTTAGGAAGAAGTTTAAAATATTAAAATGTACAGCATGATGAATATTCAAATGGTGAAAGTTAAAAGTTTTAGTGTTTTCTGTCACAACAGTCACAGAAGAAATGCTGGATGGACTATGAAGCTCACAGTAAGCCGATTTAAACAGCTGCCAACAGCGATTATGCAATATTAGGCTCTCCTGTGACTTGTGTCACCCTTCGAAGATTGGCTCTGCTCTCGCAGACCTTGCTGCCCTCAGGAGCAAAGAGCGTCCATCATATCCATAATTATCTGGAAGGGAGGTCCATCACTATTGCATATTAGCAGCACACAGACAGCATGGCAGTAAATAATCCCATCATTTCAGCCAGAGGAGGTCAGGCAGACACAAATTTAACAGAGAGCAGTTTTACATCCTGGAGGGCATTGTAGGGAGGTTTCATCATCTGAAGGATTGATGCCTTGGGTTTCCCTTCCCTCTCTCCGTCTTTTAGCTGGAGCCAAGAGCTCATCCAATAAGTACAGGAAAAAAATTTAGCTCCTTTGATTCATACACATCTGAGTTGCACTGGAGGTAGACGTATGACTGCTCAGTTTTGATGCTGCACCAGCACTGGGTCATGCTCTGTTAATAAGAAATGTCTTATTGACAGGAAAATGCTTTACAGCATGTTTCAATTTCAATGTTAACTTAGTACGTACTGTAACAAAATAAAGATAAAAAGAACTGTATATATATGTGTGTATGTGTGTGTGTATAACTATATAACTTTCTATTATATTATCTTTGTATAATATAAATTGCACTTAAACTGAGTTTATTGAATACATTTAAACAACCAACATCTGCTGCCCTGGCCCTTTTTTTCCCCTTCTCTCTATTTTTATGGGTTTTAACAAAAAAAAATGTAGATTTTTTTATTTAGATGAAAGAAAGTAGAAATATGTCTGTCTCTAAATGTCGCGCTGTGATAGACTGGTGACCTGTCCAGGGTGTCCCCTGCCTTCTCCCTGAGTCAGCTGGGATAGACTCCAGCCCCCCCGCGACCCTAGTGAGGATTAAGCGGTGTATACATAATGGATGGATGAAAGAAGAAATAAAAAAGTTTGCTTTAAACTGTTATTTATTCTTGTTTTTCCTCTTGCATTTAACAGTGAGGGCCTCTTGTAATGTGTAGAGCTCTAAATATATTTCTTGTAATTAAAAGCAAAAAGGAAAAATTGATTAAACATCCATCAATCCATCCATTAGCTATACTCGCTTTATCGTACAGAAGATCATGGGGGGCTGAGAGCGAGAGATGGGTTACACACTGGACAGATGATTGATTAAACAATACATTTTTAACATGCAGAATGCTGCATTCCTCATAGATTTTTTTTTCTTTTTTAAACATTTTTACAGTGATCTTAGTGTTGTTACAGAAACAATTCTGAAGAGGATTGCAACATTTAAAAGGGATTTAGTTTAGAAAGTTACATTTTCTATAGTAAAATATATGCACCGTGACATTGAAAATCTGTTACACACAGTCGTTCCTAGCTCTACCTCATTGTGTGAATAATTTGTTTTTCTTTCTTTTTTTTTTTTTTTTTACCTTTGAGAGCTATCAACTGTTTAACTCCCGGGGACTTTCTGTCCTCTCATACAGCTCTTCCCCTTCAGCTTGACAGAGAATTTCTTCCCTGGCTCTTTGTCTCTCTGTTTGTTTTCCCCTGCCTGACATTTATAAAGTGAGAGCTCGGAGGATGCTCTGAGCGGTGGAGAGCAGCTCCGTCTCCGGGACATTGGGCGTCCACGGTGCGAGCAGCTTCGGATCACTCACTTAAGCAGCTAACATTTCAAACGGGCAATAAAGAGAGTCCTGGTCCCTCTAGAACAATAAAACAGTGTTAGAGTCAGGGGTGGATGCACTGTAATACAGATATTTCTCTGCCACTGCTGCAGCTGCTGCGCTCAGCAGATTGAGAAAGACTGAATCAAAGGACGCTCACTACAGAAAATAAAGTGAGCCAGATTCGCTGTAACATCCAGGTGTAACATTTGCTTTCTCTCCATGGACATGGTTAAAAATGCATAAGGAGGTCATTAAGTCATTAAAATAACTTACGACCTTTGTTAACCTCTGTCTGTCCTGTAAAATTGGCACAATGTCAAATGTATAATCTATTTTTTTAACATGCAGAAGAGTAGACTTTCATTTTAAATATTATTCCCCATTTTTTCCCCTCTGTCTAGTGTGGGCAGAGAGAGGCTGAGCAAAGAGAGGATTGTTCTCTCCATATATGACAAGATGTAAATCAGAGCTCGGGTGTTAATTTATTTCTGTCCTTCTAGCACAGGGACAGGGATGACAGTTAGGTGATGATCCCTCATGTCTGAGCCATCTCACGCCTCATTCCCCTCGCAGGAATAACATTGAACAGGGATTTAGCCAAGACCTTGACTTGACTGCCTGCTTGCAGAGAGGAGCGCACATTGTCTTTGTCGTGCAGGTGTGTGTGTCTTTGGGTTGTATTAAGTAGGAGGGTCACCGGTGTTGAGGTGTGTGTTTCTTTGGCTTTGTCTTTGCACGTGTATTCATGTGCGAGCGTGAATACATGTCATACATCACGCAGTCCTCCCTGAATTGAACAGGAGATTTATTGCACTGATTATTTCCTTTTTTATAACTTGCTGCTTTCTGATTTGACCTTCCCCAGCAAGCAAAAACACTTTGATAGATCTACTTGATTAGCAGATCTGAGTACCGCAATTTAGAGGCCCTCATAAACCGCATGTGTTATCACTCGCTCCTGTGTGCAGTTCATCAAAACAGGGGTGGCCTCACAAACTGTTGTTCCAAAAATCTTAAAACTGTCTCAATTGTCCGTGAAACATTGGACAGCTGTTGTAAAAATAGAGAAACTAGAGCAAAAGCATGTTATTCCACAGCTCAGAATAGTCCTGAGTAATTATTTATTCCTGTTTCAGTGATGTTTGCTAAAAGATGCCATGCTCTGCTCTTTTACAATTTTATTTATCGTATATTAAAAATTAAAGTAGATATTTGTGACCCATTTTAAACATTTATGTGTTTTGTCTTCAGAAAATATTGGCAGACAGACAAATATTTTATCTTTTTTTTTTTTTTTCTTGGTATTTTGTTGACAATTAGAAAAATGCAGAACAATACCAGCCTCATATTTTAAGTCCTCATGCTTGTACCATTCAGCTGCACCCACGTTAGTCTGTAATCGTGCACAACTGAAATGGAACTTTAGTAAAGTTTAACTAAAACCAATGTTGTCAAGGTTCGAGAACAATGTTGGTTTTTGCTTTATTATGTTACCCATCTGAAGGCTTCAGTCACTTTGAGCAAACCACTGATCTGTTTCTTTGTTTTAGGACTACAGTCTGATTTTCTTTCTAGACTCCTCATCATGTTCTGAATGCCTTATTTTTATAACACACATAGCAGTAATGAGAACAAGTCGGGCCAAGCGCCGGAGATAAATGGAGAACATGTGTATCCCAGAGGTCGATGAGGACTTAATCATGGGTGACCCTGAGCTGTTCCTGAGGTGAAAAGACATTTTGCACACCAGGAAACCCTTTGTTTGCTTCTGGATGTATACATATGCATAAGACTGGAAAATATGTGCATGTTTAATGTGCACTTTAACATTGAGTACACCAGTAGGAGACTGACTTTCTGCTGTAGCACAGTTGAATCCTTGTTGACTTTGCTGCAGGGACAGTCGTGCTTACAAGTTTAGATATGATTTGACAGCACTCCCCTCGGCTGCGGGTTTGGAATCAAAAGGAGATGCTGAGACTAAACTTCTAGAGTCTATTAAGCCCACCATGTCCCCTAATTTTGCATTTGTTGGGTTTCATGGTTGCTGAGTTGTCAGAGGACATTTGGCAATGAGATCCATTCCCATCTCCTCTCAGGAGGAGGTCTCCTGCTCTGCAATGATTAGGCAGAGATGTCACCAAATGATTTATTCATATGAGAGAGTTTTTTTTCAGATTTTGTTCTAGCATCGCCATGCTTCTGACTTGGATGTAGGCCTTGCTCCCTTTCACCCTCTAATCAGAATCCCTCGTGCTGCAGTCAGGCAAGGCTCCGGTGGTACTGAGCTAAAGGACGGATGCAAGAAAAGAAAAGGAAAACCGTGTCTTTCCTCTGTTTCCAGTGCTTATTTCCTTGCCTGTTCTTCATTATTATCAAGTCCCTCACAGCATGTGACAGACGTGTTTTGCATAATCATTGATTTCAAGTGTGAAGAATAAACGCAGAGTGCTGCCCATGATTAATTTGTGGCCTCTCATTTCCTCTGCATATCCTCATCAGACAGAGCCTCGCAGAGAATCAGGAGCTATAGACGCTCAGCCTGGTTTGATACATGAGCTCTAATCCCATAGCAAAGCAGGACGAGGAGCTTGAGAGGGTCTAAATGAGGATGTTTACCTTTTGTTTTCATGTGGATTCAAGGATTACTTGTAATTAATTGGACCCCCTGCACCAAAAACGCTGTCAGATAAATTATGCAAACAAAAAAACTAACATTTTTTTTTAAATGAGTAAACACTCAAGGACATGCACATGCATGTAGAAATATGCACATTATCTCCCTCTTGCCCTCTTTTCCTCTCCTCCCACTATAAAACACACAAACACGTTCAATCCAATTTACAGCTTTGGCTTGTATAATTGAGGTTAATCAAATGTCTTTTCTTCCATGTCTGTGTTTACTCTTGTAGGCAACGCATGCACCATGTCGGAGTACAACAGGCTGAAGAGCATGCTGCTGGATATGCAACCGAAAGTACTGAACACTGGAGAGCAGGAACAGCAGAGAGACATGGAGGAGAAGAGAGCTATGGTGGACACCATGTTTAAATACCTGGATGTGAACCAGGACGGCCGGCTGATCAGTGACGAGCTAGAAAAGGTGGGTGTCAATCTGAAATGACCTGATTGATAACAAAGCTGTGGATGAACAGATGAAGGTTAAGAGTGACTGAGAAGGAAGAAGATCAAAAGAGGGGTACGCTTCAAGCAAACCTCCCAATGACAGATTTTTAAGGAGTGTCTGCTTCATGGGATGCCTTTATCATCCATGTTTGAAGCAGTTTTGTCAGCATTCACAAGCAATTTTACCTCAGTTTGATTATATGAGAGAGAAAAACACAAATGTAGATTCCAAACCTCATCCAAGACATTTGCAGTTCACAAATAAAACCTTGTATTTGAAATCGTTTTGTGAATACCTGACAGCTTTTTGTTGCTACTGTGGAAAGAAAGCTGTTTTTTCGGCATAATGAGAATCTTTTTCAATGTGTTCCTGTACATTTAAAATAGGAGCTGATCCCTGCTCACACTGGACAACAGTCAGCCACGTTTTTCCTTCATAGGCTCCCCTTGACATATGGTCAAACTATAAAGTAGAGTGAGTGGCACGTCTCTGGAGCATTTAGTCACCTTGTTAAACTATGAAAAATGTTTACTGGGCTTATCTACCCACCAGGGTCTGATGGGAAACAGTGGGGGAGCTGTAGAAAGAATTGCCATTGACGCTTGCATAGTGAGGAAATTAAATTATTGCGAGCATCATCTGGTATCAGGGAATGGGCATCAGAGATGGGTGTTAATTAGACTCCTCCCAGCCAGTGCCATGATCTCAGTGATTGCCACTCTGCCAGGATCCGTGTTATAGTCGCTTTGGACACAGACTGCAACGGGAAGAGTAAATTGTGAAATTCTTTATGGTCTTAATGTCTGACATTTTAAATCTGCTATTGCTCTTTATTGTAAGAGAGTGGCCGTATGATATAAAAGAAAAATAAGCTCATTAGAGCAGTGCAACTAAATATAGTCCCAAAAATGCCACTGTAATTAATCTTTTGCTATCTCACTGTGTTTGTGAATTACAACAAGGTTTGTCCTCTTTTAAAATTAAAAAGATTGAGCGACTCTTGTCTCTTCTGGGGGAGCTGTTGAAGGTCCAGCAAAGTATTAATAATGCTGACATGCCACCAGGAAATCCTTCGATAAGACATTCTTATCCTGTAAGAAATCATCGGTTTATTTTCCCAGAGATGGTGCTTTTAAGGATCAAAGATGAATCCCAGTCATCCATCCAGACTGTCTCCAGTTCTGGGATCTGTCACAGATGGTCTTGGAGGGTAAAGTTCTGTACTTTGGGTTTGAAATATTTTATTCAAATGCCCAAGGACAGATCAATGTGTGACAGCGAACACATGACTGCAGTCAGCTGCAGGCAGCAACATAAAAAAGCATTTGTTGCATCCTTTAATCTGCCATGTCACATGTGCAGCTCCATACAGAATCAACTGGAGAAGATAAGCAAGAAAGGGGGATTATATTTTTAGAGTTGGATAACTCAAGGGTTTAAACACACTAGTTGCCTCATCTTGTTAGCATTCCGACCTAAAAACACAGTTTACATAAACAGTTTGTCTTTTTCCAAATTATAAAATCTTAATACAACACAGAACATTCACCATGATGGATCTCATTTAATCTGTCTGCATTTGGGCTCACATTTGTGTCTGAGTTAAACCTAATTTTGACCTGTTGTCTGCTTGCAAGGCTCTTTGTTGATCCTCTGCTGACTTGGAATTGTTTTCTTTTTGTTTTTCTTTGATTAAAAATTTTGTTTAATGGGAAGTTTCTTCAGTCTAAATACAGAGACATCAAGTACACCTAAAAAAAAAAAAAAAAAACAAGCTATAGCAGGTTACAGGCCAAGCTGAGCACTGATTTTAAGCATTCTCAGTGTCAGAACAGGCCACTTACCTGGATCATATAAAGCTTTACCAGTCTGAGAGAGTCAACCAGAGTTAGCGTGGATTGTTTACAGGCATAGCTCCACACAGTGTCAACACAAACAAAGGTGCAACAGTAGCAGAAGAACTGAAAATGCCTGTGTGAGTGTGCAGGGTCTTTAACCCTCTGAGCATCAAGCAGTTTCTGGACATTTTTAATCACCTTTCACAACAACATAAAGTACTGCACCTTACTCCACAAACATAGCTAAAAGTAAAGACAACTCAAAAATGTGTTTTGTGCAGTATGACAATAACGCCATAAATAAGAAAACTGAAGAAATGAATTTTTGCCATGCAGAATATTTCTTTCAACAACTTGCTGACAGCTTGCTCCATCGTACACTGTTGGTGAGCCACAATGCATTATTTTATTGATCAAGTATTTTCTTTTCGATCTCTCTTATCTGCTCTGTGTTCACACAGCCTCCAGTTCAGATGAAAAGTCTCACAAGTTGCACATTTTTTGTTTTGTTTTTGTTTTCCAAAAAGACCTGGTGCAAACAGTTTAATGCTGGTGGGGTTTTTTTGAAGGAGGAAAATGATAATGTGATTTCAATTCTAATTTTAAGCCTATTTTTGGCTATTTTTACAAAAGGAACTATATGTCATGCATGATGCATTTACTGACAGCCAGAAAGCTGAAAGTCTGACTGTTTTCTTTCTGTTTCTATGATTTCTGGGGCCATAAATGGTGTAATTTGATGATTGTGTTTAAAGGAAAACATGGTTTCAAACCCACTTGGCTGTATTGGGTTCAAAGGGTTAAAACTGTGACGTATGTGATTGAAAAGCAAGATTTAGCCTTCACACATATATCAGTGTGTAGTTAGGAAACTCTTCTTCTTGCAAAAGTCATGTGGATGGTTTGAGACCAGTTACATGTAACATCTATAAAACATTTTGTGTGGGCTGTTTGATGCAGTCTGTATCTTTGCTGTACATATACAAACATCATGATCGTCTTTGCACAGATCCCGTCTGTTTATTTTCACACTGGCTAGGGTTGTTTTTCTTCATAAAGACTTGCCATGAAAATATGGACACTAACTGAGACGATTACGCCAGGCATCATGTTTTTATGCTCCATAAACACTTAAACACAGAATGTAGCTTTCCAGTATAGACATTATATACAAAAATAGACCTGTACTGACAGGCAGTTTTATTAGTGACTGGTATGCTTTTGTAGAGAAGCGACATATTTAAGAGAATATAGTGTAGCTGGAGTTATCGAACACAGGCTGAGCATTCTGTTTGTGTTCCTGAAACTGCTTAACATCACCTATTTAAAGATGGCTCCCCTGAGAAAGGTGCACTGCTATCGCAGGAAAAAAGGACTCATAAATGACAAACAATGGTGGAGAGAGTGGTGTGTCTTCCCAGGGGAGCATCTTTGAATTAACTCATGTGCAGTAGATAATAGTGGAGCTAGTCTTAAAGTGGAAAGCAATCTAGCAAAGCACTAACTTGACAGCTCCCATGACCCACCCATTTTAAACAGACCAAAATGGCTCTCAGAAGGTGCCAGTTTCTGCGATTTGGATGTTTATGTACATGAAGTATTTTCCCTCTGAAGGAGCTCTTTTCCTAATTATTAATGGAATGAAATGTAAATTCTAAAACCTCCCTATAATGCTGAATATATTTAGTCTAGCAATTTGTTGCAAATCACTACTGCCTTTTCTAAAAGCCCAAAGTGGTAATTTGTTAAAACTTAAAGCAAAATCAAAAGCTTTAATGAAAAGGCTGTATTTGTAGGTTTAATCAGAAAAGTATGATATAGACAATACACAACAGCCCTAACAGGTCAAATACTGAATGTAGAACTACACAGTTGGATGGCAAAACTAAACTTACAGAAAAATGTTATCTTGTCTTTTAAAACGTCTTTGGTGTCTATGATAGTTTTACCATCTGCCTTTTCCACATGTTCTGCACACACGCTGTCATATGATCCAATCTATTCTGTGTGTTAGATCTCGATGAAGGAACACCTTGAGGACAGTCTTTTGGAGTGCACCATGCAGGACCTGCTGCGTTATGATGATTACAACAACGACGGTCACCTCAGCCTACACGAGTTCTACACAGCTTTCCGTAAGTCTTTTTTCTGTCCTTTTCACCCATCTCCCTTTCTTCTTTATCTTTTTTTTTTTTCCTACGTCATTTTTTTCTGTCAAAAAACAAAGGTTTACCTGTGTTTGGACTACTGTTAAAACACAACACCTTGTGTATTTCCATTGAATGCATGTGTATTTGTAAATCCTATTTGCTTATCTACATCTGTTTGTTTGCGTTTATGCACCGTTTGTGCCAATAGTTTGCTTTAGTTGAGAAACAGTGCGACACATATATCCCCCGTACTTTGAAAATACAGCTTACCGTCACAACTATTTAGAACCTAGTGACCTCCTATCCGTTCAGCCTCTCCACAGCGGCCGTCAGGATAAAAGTGTTTCATCCACAGATAAACTGATAATTGCACACTCGTCCATGTGCCCAGACCCGGCCTTGATTATAGCATCTGGAACAGCTATAATAGCCGTTGGGGTTTGGGCTGAGCGGCAGCTGAGAGCCCAGGCAGGTTCCACTTTATTAAGACCGATAATCACAGTTCCATCACTAATGTTACTGTAGCATCAAAATTGCAGGACGCCATAGTGGTCTGCTGCAACTCTTGTTTTCAAACTCGTTTTTTTCATCTTCCACGTGTCGCTTCAAACTGCAGTGAAAAACCCCAGGTCTGAATCCAAAACGGCGATAAAATCCAGTAAAGCTGATGAATCCAGCAGTTAGCTATGGCAGGTGGCCATTTTCAGGGCTTTACCTTCAGCTTGTGCAGGTCCATTAAGTCTCACTATTAATTTAGCCTCCTAATGACTGGTTTTAGTGGGAACCATCTTCCTATTATTCGGTTACACTCCTTTCACCTTCCAGATGGGCAGTGAGCAGACATTGCACGGTATTCCTCTACCTACAGGTCTGCCTGCAGGGTTTTTTCGGCCGGGTTTGTCAATGCATTTTATGTTTGACAAGCAGTTGAGGAAGTGGGTTGGGACCAATAATACAAGCTATTGATCAGGTGGTGCTCAAGGTTAACTGTTGGGCTGCAGCAAGGCAACACCAAGGGGGAGCAATAATGGCTGAGTGGCACATCTGGTGCTCTGGATAATGTTGATGGTGTGGAATAGTGTAAGTTTGTATGTGTGTGTGTGTTTGTGTCTGTGTCTGTGTGTGTGTGTTTTCCTGGGATGCAGCTCTCTCCGGTGAGTTGGTCTGGGAAACAGAGCAGCCAGGAATCACAGGTGTGCTTAGCAGGGTGGAAATTCACAATATGGACATAGGCTTGGAAAATAGAATCCGAATGATGGACCTAAATGAGGTGAGAGGATATTTCTCCCTGGTTGATATTCTCCTGTCAAGCCAAATGCTTGATCTCAGGCAAACATTTGAAATACAAGCTGTAGTCATGTTGTGGCGATCCTATAACTCAAAGCACAAGGCTAGAAAGGCGTACTCAGCAGTCCTTTAGTCTTCATGGTTGCAGCTATCATTCTGTTCTGTAGCTTTGATGTAAGAATCAAAACCCTTTGGCCATTTCCCAAGAAGACAACTCCAGCTTCACCGTTGTTCCCACAGCCACTGAACTTGTGCTGTTAAGAAACGCTGAGGGTTTTTTTTTTTTTTTTGCTTTTATTTTGCCCCCTGTGTTGCCTTTGACTTATTTAACGTATAAACCTTGACAAGCACACCACTTTACAAAGCTCTGTTCTGTTGCCACCTGAATCTATTTTTTATTTTACCACAAATTGAATAGAGAAGAATATGCTCTGCGAATACTCCTGAGATGATTACATTTCTATTGATCCCTCCCCTCCTCATTCTACATTTTACAAGGAGGCTCTATTTGTGGACTTTTTTTTTGCGCCTCTTTGGCACCTCTGTTAAGTGGATTTTACTTAAATGCCTATTTCTTCCTCCAAGAGTATGGATTAGTAATTAAAATCCAAGAATGGTGCTGACCAAATTTTACTGATGTATCACTGGCAATTACTGGGAGACAGCAATCACATTTACATTTGTGTCTCGGGCATTTAGATGGTGCTCTGATCCAATCAGTACAACCAAGGAGAAATGTTCCAGCCCAAAATAATCAGTTTTACAAGTAATCAGCTGTATATAACGTGAGGTTGTAGGCACAAAATGCAAGGATGAGGTGTAGCATATATGCCTTTGTATCGCCACAATGAATTATTACAATTTTATATATTTCGTTTTTCAAAAGCTTACATGTAGAGAAACGATACTGTGATCCATGCCATAATTCTGAGGCTTTGCTTAGAAGAGCAAGTAAATGAACAGCCTCTTATTCCGTGAATCAACATTCTCCCATAGAGCTTATTGCAGGGCAGAGATAACAGCATAATGGCTTTAAATCTCTCTAGCTCTGTAGTTTCCTAATGGCGTACGGTTTCACAGGGTTCCGTTTGCTAACATTTATTACAGTGTCAACATTGTGTAGGAGTGGATTTGCTTGTACATGTGCCCTTTGTATCCGAATTAGAGCCACCGTAATTACACAATAATAAATGTGCAGGAATTTGCCTCCTGGACGTCGCCACGGATGCTGCAGCAATGATGGTTTCACATTACCTGTTCAGTGAAAGACAACAGTGCATTAGCATTGAAGCTGATAAGTGAGCTGGCTTATTGAGAGATATCTGTAGCCTGCAGACGCAATATACACGGTCACACAAGGTCGGAGCTCCTTTGTGGATACATGTGTAGTATATAAAGGTGCCCTGCGGTGATACATGGGCTGCATGTGCATTGTATTTTGTTAGTAACCTTTTGAAAATGTGAAATCTGACATGTCTATGCTAGATTTTTATAATATTGACTTTTTCTGGTGTTCAGCATAAACTGAGCAGGTGATTCATTAAATATACATTTTTAGTAGTCTGTGTATCCCTTTGGCTGCAAGAGAGAAGAAATAGGTATATTCAAAATTGCACAGAATTATTTTAATTCTATCCATTTAGGAAATTTAGATATTCAAAGGAAAAAATTCCCAGACAACTTATTATATGATACTGTAGCAACTCAGCATCATATATATATTTTTCCCCACATGATACCAGTATGATTTCATTGCGATTGTTAGCCTGCGTCCTGTCTAGCGGCTCTCCAGATGAGACGGGAAGAGATTTGTCTGTTTTGTGTCTCAGGTGTGGCTGCACTGGTCAGAACCGAACGCCGCAGGAAAACTTCATAACACACCTACATCGGTATCGTCACACTGCTGCAGCGTTATTGGCTGCTACCCTTCAATTTACCGCCATGAAATTAGGGGCCTTAGTGGGTGATTATGGTCAAAAACTTTAAAAGCTGACTTAAAGGCCAGAACTTTGGGTCTGTTGGAGACTCGTTAGATCCTACAGAGACCAGCATGCAAACAGATGAACAAGGATAAACAGCGATGGCCACGAAATACCCCTATACTCCTATGTCAGCCCAGCTGGCTTGTTTATTTCAAATCAAGAGAGCACAAAAGGAGCAAAGGAAGAAACACATGGACAAAGGCGACACATGAGGAAAGCAGGGCAGCAGCAAGACAGCATGAAATTTTCATGGAAAAGATAAGAAGAAAAGTGAAGGCGAGAAGAGGGAGAATTTTTCCTGATTTTGTTCTTCCTAATCTTTCTATTATCTCTTTGCCTGCTATCATCATGTGCTGACATTGCGGTCTTAAAACTTTATGGCTATGATGTTCATGTTCAAACCTGAAAGTTGTCAGTCTTGGAACATCAGTGTGACTTTGTTTTCACTGATGTCAGTTTTTATTTTTTGTTTACTACAGAAAACGCTTTTTTATTATGGGAAGATCTTGTCAATGCTGATTTCATGATAAGCTTAGAAGCTTGATTTTTGGACTTAGTAACAAGTCCGTTAGTTATTAATTTGCAGTGCAATAAATCAGGGGTCCCTTTTTTTTTTTTTTTTAATTATTTGTAAAAGCTGGCAAGCCTCTGTAGGACTAAACTAGTTTTCTGAGGTTCCCGTTGTTCCTCCATCTTTCTCACACATGCAGGTCTTCCCCTTCAAGCTTTTCCTCCTCTGGTAGTCTATTTGTTTTCCATGATTCCAGTTAAGAGTGGAGTTATATGGAGATGCTGAGCTGCGCTGGCAGAGCCACTCAGCAGCTCTGACTAATTAATCAAGAGGGTGAAGTGGAAACAGAGAGGAAAGAAGAGAATGGGAGGGCGAGGGGGACGGGATGAAATAGAGGAAGAGGAGAGTATCGTGGGGAGATGAGGGAATTCTGAGAACAGTGACAGAGGGAAGATGAATACAGTGCCGTTGGACAATGAATGGAGAAGAGGCTCTTCTTCCTCTCGGGAGAGGAAAGGCCGGCAGGAGGAACGAGAGAAAGTGGAAATAGAAAGAAATGAGATAGTTGTAATTGGTTAGCTGGTGAGACACAAAGAACAGTCAGGGTTGGATAAAGTTCAACAGGTTCATCAGCTGAAGAGAGGTTTGTGTGTGTGTGTGTGTGTGTGTGTGTGTGTGTGTGTGTGTGTGTTTATATTACAGGTCTTATGTGCTATTTGTGTGTGTTGATGGCTAACAAACCATCAACATACATACATACATATATTAAGTTTATCTGTATTTATTCATGAAATAATAAATCCCCTGAAAATAACCCATGGAACTAGGATGTGTACTTTTGTGTGTGTGAAGCAAACATTAAATGCACAGGATAGAATTTCTGTCACTGGGGGTCTGTCAAATGAAACAATAATATAGTCTGATGTTGTGAAGTAGCATTGGATTATGGGAGTTGATTTCACCACCATTGCCGGTAGAAATGACATGACTCAAGTGGAAATCATGTTCACTGACAAAGCAATATCTTTATTTACATTATGTTTACTCACAAATATCCAGTTTGTCATTTCACTCTGATAAAATGCCCACAAGTAATGTTAACCAGAGTGTGTTAACTGTTCACTCACCACCAGGTAAGCCACCTATGTGTACAGCCATTACAGTCCATCATGGGGATGCCCACTGTTATCACTGGTCAAAGTAAC